AACGTACTCCTCGAAAATAACCCGTGGACAGCTCGGCTTTAGGTGCACTAGCTTCAGTTGTGGGCGCCATACTGGCAGAATCAGCTGTAGTGAAGATAGATGGTTTAATCTAAAATGTAGTATCACCAGTCCATTCTTTTCATGTTCAAATTACCTTTTTTAGTGGAAGTTCAACTATTTCCGCAACTCGGATGCCGGCTTCTTCTTCCTTTTGCAACGGAGGCTCAGAAGATGTGACTGGCTTGACATCTGTTGTTTCTGAAGATGTGGTTGGTTTATCATCACTACAACTCTGCTCCTCGGGTACTGCTGCAACTGCGGATTTCTCCGACGCCAGTACGGACATAAGACACTTCGTGTCATCATCGTCAAGCTTTTCCATTATTTTGTCCTGGAAAATGATAGAATTAAAATTGATTGCTAGTATAAACCTAGCCTTACAAGAGAAGGAAGAGCTTCCTCATTGCCGACACTTGCATCTATATCAAATAAGCTGTCAAGTTCGCCATTTCGCAATTCTTGTTGCTCCAGCTCCTCCAATCTCTTCATCATTTCTGCCTGAATAGAAGGCTCAGATACATTTAGTTGCTTACTATTCGTGTGCTTCAAAAGATCACAGCCAAGTGTGTGCTAAAACAAGTCATATGTAACTATTCGAGAAAGCTCTAAACAATATGGAAAGGCATATAAGACGACGTTGCAGAAGTGAGAAAACGAAAAGTAGGCGAGCTTCGAGCTCTCATTTTGAAGAAAGACATCGATTAGTAAAAGATACTACCAAAGATGTGTACCCACCTCAGCATTTACTTCAGCCAATGTTTTAGTGACAGGCCGTGAAGCCATCTTTCTGGCTTTCCGCTTTCCTAAAAGTCTTGCGAATCGAAAAGAATGAATATTCAAGAACTTTTATTCTACCCAAGAGACAAATTTGAGCAGCGTGTGCTCACTGATAGATACAACTTAGAAGATTAACAAATAAAACTCACTTCTCAGTTCATCTTCTTTCTTCTCGTCATACTCTTCCCTGATTTCCACCTCATCAGAGCTGCCTTGCTGATATGAAAGTGATTAGAAAATGAAAAACCTGACGTAGCTGACTTACATGCTCAAAGAGCTTCTTGGCGTAGGTCGAATAGTTTTCCAATAATTTCCTATGTTCGTGCAGATCGGCAATACCTTTCTCGACAACTTAAAAAAGTAGTATGAGGTGAATATGCAAAAAATTGATAATGCTCACCCTTCCTGCGCCTCTTCAGAATCTGGACGGCGTCATAACATGTCGTGTCAAGGAAGTAC